TTCTGCTGCGGTCACCAGCTTCTCTCTCCCTGTTCTGCTTTCCTGTGTTGGCTTGTTCTCAGGTGGGAAGGTGTGAAAATTATCTGTATGGGATGGGAGACCATGAGCATTACTCTGTGGTTCAGAGGAAAGAATATGGGCTCTGAGGCCAGAGAGACTTGGGCTTGAGTCTCTTCTACTAGGAGCTGTGTGACCTTAGTTGGATTTCTTTGCCTCTCTGAGCCTGTTCTTCACTTGTCTTGATCTAATAAACTCCTACAACTCAGAGTATTAATATCAAGTTCAAGTGAGATAATACATGTGAAAATGCCTGGTACTGTAATATTATATATTAACCCTCAAAATATACATAGGAAAGAGAGCTCGGCAACCCCTTTCGGAGCTTGTGTTCTTAGTAAAGCAACTCTGCATAGAGGGCACAGGAAAGGAAGTAGTTGCATGTCCAGAGATCACAAGTCAGGCTCATTCTTCTACTCGAGGCCCCAGCTGGGGTCTCAGAATGAACAGTGGGGTCAAGAAACCCAAATTTGAGTTCAGACTCAATGTGGCCGAATCTGGGGCCTCAGTTACATCATTCATCAAAGCAGGATGGTGGCTGAGACAATGCTGAGGGATAAAGAGTTGCTACCCCACACGTGTGCACAGGGCTGGGTGGTGACCCTCTGACAGCCTCCGTCTTATCAGGAATAAACACCCAGGCCCCATCCCACATGGCCCTGCATGCCCTTGTCTCACCCCTCTGACCTCACTGCCACCTACTCTGTCCTTCGAACACTGTTCCAGGAACAGTGACTGTCCTTGTAGCAAGTCAAGCTTTTGTTCTTACTCAGGGCCTTAGTTCTTGTTGTTTCTTCAGCTTGGAAAGGGTATTGTCCATGCCTTCCACCTGGCTGGCTTCCTGTCACTCATTTCAAAAGTCATCTTTTCTGGGGCAGGCCTAGATCCCTCTGTGTAGAGCTGTATTTCCCTGCACTGCCACACACACACTGCTCTCAACCTCATTACTCTGCTTTATCTTTTTTTAAATGAGTTAAATACTTTTTTATTTGGCTGCACCAAGTCTCAGTTGCAGTACATTGGCTCTTTAGTCGAGGTGCACAGGCTTCTCTCTAGTTGTGGCCTGTCAGCTTAGTTGCGCTGGGGCATGTAGGGTCTTAGTTCCCCAACTAGGAATCGAACTCATGCCCCCTCAGTGGAAGTGTGGAGTCTTAACCACTGGATCACCAGGGAAATTCCCTCTTTTTCATTTTGTATTAGTAAGTTCAGGATGTTATTACCTCCTCCAGAAAAGCTTCCTGGGGCATCCCAGAAGAACTGATTGTCGCTCCTTCCTCCTGTGTCCGCAGGCTGTATACTTCCTTCTGCCATGATATTTTCAGTGCTGTGTGCTCGTGGGCTGGACCGACTCCCCGAGTGGCCTGCCAGACCTGTGTCTGGTTCCATCTTTAAACCCCTGACAACTAGCTCAATACCTGGCACACAGCAGGTGTCCAACAAAAATTTACTCCCTACGCCACCTGCCTCTCCCCTGGCTTTGGATTCTAGAATAAACACAGCACAGAGTCAATGGTTCACAATACCATCATCCAGGCTATAGATGGAGGACGTTGTTTTTAAAAAGAGAACAGTCTCTGGTCCAAAGAACAGTTTATTTAAAACAAAGGTGACAAAGTGGAGGAAGGAGGGAGAACAATTCTAACATAAAAGCACATAGGAAGCATCTCAATTTTTTTTTTAAAAAAAAGGGCAATGGAGGAAGCTATGTCTCATACATATACAAACTGCTGACCTCAATTGATTATTTACATCCAAACTTTATAAAATAGCATTTCAAGTCAGCACTTAAGCCAGTGTTATTAGTTTTTGTTACAAAAAGTTAAAGCTACAAACTTCACATTTTTAAGTTGTACGTCTGCAAGAGCATTTAAGCTTTTTTTTTTCCCCAAGTTGGTCCGAGTGCAAGCTGGTGGAAGAGGTTTTCTCCCCCCTCCCAAACACAAAAAAGTACATCAATTCCAAATACAATGACTATAATCCTGATGAAATCCTGATGAAAACACAGATACAGTGCTTAAGAAAGGATGGGGTGATAGGATGTGCACTGGGCAGGAACAATTTTCAGGTAAAAAAAAAAGGAGCTGCAGTCTTTAGAGGCAACATGGTATGCTAGAAAGGGCACTGGAAGAAAAGACCTGGATATGAACTCTGGCCCTGCTGTATTCTAGTTACCTGACTTTGAGCAACAGACTTTACCTCTCAGAGCCTCCGTTTCCTTTTCCGTAAAATGAGGACAAAGATACCTGTATCTCTCAGAGATAATTAAGTTTTAGTAGATGTTGGGCTCTTCAGATTATCTCCTTCTTCGTGAGTGAGATTTGGGAATTTGTATCTTTCAGGGAATTTGTCTGTTTTATTTAAGTTGTTATTAGCCTTTTAGTAGGGTCTATACTGATGTCACCTCTCTCATTCCTGATACAGTAAATGCTATTGAGTTTGAAATGATATAATAAATTTCTGGCAGTAGGTGCTAAATAAATGTTTCTTGGATCAGAACCTACAGCTTCAAGGAATCAAGGCCATGGTTCTTAAGTTGCTTCAGAGTACTGGTTCTGTCTATCTGTCTTCAGAGTACTGGTTCTGTCTGTCTGTCTGTCTGTCTGTTTATCCATCACACCAAACATTTATCCACCAGTCCATCTGTCTATCAGCTGGTGGCTGGGAGAAGAGACAAGGAAAAATAAAAAATAGAAACTTGCTGCAAAATTACTGATGAGGAAGCAATAAAGATATTCCTGGAGGATCTGAGATTTTTAAAAGACACAGTTAGGTCTGGGTCATTGTTTATTAGGGGAGAACAAGTGAGAGGCCCAGCGTCCCATGGAAGCTGGAATCAAAAATGATTGAAGCTCAGGGCTCTACAGGAAGCCAGCTGACCTATCGTGAATTTAGTATCCAAGGAGAAAAATGACTAGGATTGACTTCTCTGCCTTCCTGGCATAAGAAAACAAACACACCTTGTCAGAAAATCTATCTCATCCAAAATAAACTGACTTCTGGCCAAAGGGCTTTGTCTAGCTCAACTGGAAAGCAAATCACTTTGTTGGACCAGCATGTTGGATACACACAAGGAGCTGAAACAAAATAAACTTCAGATCAAGACTCATCACCCAAGAATATTTATGGGGAAAAACGGAATCTTCTTTTACTTGGATCTAGCTTAGGAAGGGAGAAAATGGGCATTCCCCTCCTGTCTGGCCAAGTGCAAAATCCTTTTTTTAAAAAAAAAGAGAGAGAGGGAGGTAGGGAAAGAGAGAGGGAAACTGGGGTAGGACTGTTAATCAGCACAGCAGATAGGGACAGGGAAATTCATGCTTCACACTTTGTTTTTTAACTCACTTGACTGTCAGACTTGACTGATTCAGTGGTTTCCCAACCTAAGAATGCCAGCTAGGGTTTTTTAGTCCATGCAAGAAAAGTGGTCACTTCATTTTTAAGAAGGCTTGCTGGATAAACAACAAGGTCTCACGGTATAGCACAGGGAACTATATTCAATATCCTGTGACAAAATATAATAGGAAAGAATATGAAAAAGGATGTATAACTGAGTCACTTTACTATACAGCAGAAGCTAACAAAACACTGTAAATCAACTATATGTGAATAAAATAAAATTTTAAAAAGAAGACTTGTGACTTTCCTTTTCCCTGTAAATACTGGTCCCACATAGTGATGCTGTGAATCCTGACTTTACCACTTACCAGCTGTACGACCTAGGGAAAGAACTTTTTTCCTGTCTGAACTTGCTTCATCCTCTGTGAAATGAAGATGAAATACTTAATTCACAGAGTTACTGGGGAAGTTGGAGCTGACATAGAGAGCCTACCTACCTAGCTCAGTGCCTGGCATATAGTAAGGGGTCATGATTGCTAGCTGCCCTTTATTATTATAGCAGGATTCTCAAATTGTCCTCTGTTCTCTGTATCTGCCAAGCAGCTGTGTAACTGGCCAAGCCCTGCAGACCAACAATGGCCTCTTGCATTTTCAATAACTTGCTGTCATTGCAAAGAACAGAATCTGGCCAAAGAGGAACATCCCTGACTCTCCACTGATTCCCAGGTTTGGGCAGCAAGAGCAATTATGGGGTCAAATTACAGTATCCTTAGGTGCAACCCAGTCACGGCTCCCCTATCTGAGGGGAAGAGATTCTAAAAAATAAAAAGGCAGTTGCCTTTCCCAACTGTCTGCTCTCAGCCATGTGACTAAGTGACACGTGGCCTAGAGCCAAAGCCGCAGAGGGATGGCTCGATGCCGTCTGTTGCAAAACCCTCTGACCTGCTTTAGGCTCTGCGTCTGCCTGTGTGATGCTCGTGTGCTACCCGGCAGATGCCGCAGAGCTTGTGGGATGGCTGAAACAGAATGATCTTGGCTCCCCGGGGGACTCTCTTCACAGCCAGTTGCCTACTGAAGAGAAAAGCCGGGCAAGTTCCCATTAGCAGGGTTCCCTGGAACTTTACCAAAATGCACACGAGCGCCTTCCTTCAGAGAAGGGGCTGCTTGGCCCAGTGAAGCAGGAGTGAGGGGCCCCACCATCCAGTCCCAGCGCTTCCTTTCATTTGCTTTGTGATTTGGGCCATGTCACTTCCCTGCTCTGGGCCTCCATCAGCCCAGATGATGTCTACCTGGTCCCTTCCAGCTTCGGCATCCTACACATCTGGGTTGAGTCTCCTGGAGGACAAATCTTAAGTCTGATATTCATTTACCCTTTCCAGACCCCAAGCAGTAAAATGAAAAAAGAAAACAGTCACATGTTTGAATGTGGGTCACAAAAGCAATGCCCCTTCCCCTGTCGGTAAGGAACGTGGAGCAAAATGCCACGGGTGTCATCTTCACGTGAATGACGAGAACTTGGAGAGCCTTTTCCCCTTTCGTGGACTGAACGCAGCCCCACTTTGCCGGGAGTTCTGGGTAGGCCTGTGCCCTCGCTTGGATCACGTCTCCTCTTAAGGCACTGGGCAGTGTCTGTGCTGTGACTCTAGGCAGTTGGGAGAGCGGAGGTGGATGAAGGGTGTTGAAACTGCAAAGGCCAAGCTTGCAAGGAGGACGCCAGGCTTCTCCTGGGACTCAGAAAGCCAATGCAAATTGTCTTTCCCAGGACACCACCAATAGCTGTGGAAGCCAGGGGTGGCCCGCGTAAGGCTGAAAGCGTGGCGAAGGGACTGAGCCCGACCTCGTCTGTCAGCAACAGCCCAGCTAGAGGGTGAGGCCGGCTCCAGGGGGTGGAGGGCCCCCCGCAGCCTCCCGGTGTCCTCTGCCCTCATGTTCCACAGTACCGTCATCTTACAGAAAAGAGGCAACTGTTTTAAAACTGTACCTGTACAGAGATGCCACCACACCACGTGGGGAATCTAGTTATAATTTATATATATATGTGCATATTTATATATTTTTTTTAAAAAGTCTTCCAGAAAGAACCACTGAAAGCTACTGGGAGAAGAAAAACAAAGAGACCGCGTGACACTTTCCCAGCGCTCACTCGACGAGGAGTCTCTGGTTCTGGGGTGGGAAAGTCTGAGGTTCAAAGCGCCCACATGAGTCCTGGGAAATGATATATACCTGTCCAGTTCAAATACACATGGCGGGGCGGTGTGCCGACTGGCTCCGCAGCCCTGGCTGCTGGCGCACTTTCTTGCTTCCTGAGTTCAGAGGGGGCTCTGGAGAGACGAGGGAGGCGAGCGGGAGTTCACTGGTGGCCTGGGGCCAGGCTGCCCTCAGAAGTTCTGCTGCCGCCGCTTCTTGGCCTCAATGGCGTCCAGGATGGGCTGCCGCTTCGACTGGTACTTCTGCCGAATCTCCTCAATCTCCTGCTCCATCATGGGGTCCAGGGCTAGGAGCCTTTTCTGAAGGTCTTCCACCGTCCAACTCTTCAGCTACGAGAGAGGCAGACAGCACAGTCACGACAAGGCCCGGGTCAGTGGCTTCTGGAGACAACCTAGCCTTTTGTTTTTTTTTGGCCGCGCCACTTGGCTTGTGGGATCTTAGTTCCCTGACCAGGGATTGAACCAGCACCCTTGGCTTTGAAGGTGTGGGGTCCTAACCACTGGAACACCAGAGAAATCCCCCTGGGGAAGGGTTCTAAGTGCTACTCTCTTTGATTTACTGTTCCTTGACCAGGAACTTAATGAAGAAGACTTTCGCCTCCCCTCTCTGGTAAGTTAATGACACTGGATTCATGGTCAGGTCACTAACATAACAGTAATTTGGTATATAATCAGCAGAAAGGCTCCCTCCTCGTTCGCGTCCTACCTGTAAGACGGGCGTGTGCACGGCGGCCGTGTCTCCTGGACGCTGCACCAGGAGGACGGCTGCTCCCCGCACCGTCCCGCCTCCCACACTGTCTTGGCACTGGTACACTGATGGGTCATCGCTAGCATTTACTGGGGGCACCACTCTAAGTAAGCACTTTACAGGGATCCTCTACGTAAGTGTCTCAGGAACAGACACAAACCCCGAGTGTGGGTGGGGGTGGGGGGTAGTTGGAGAAGCCCTGAAACTTCTAAGATGAACTTTCCATGAGGCAGAAAGAAAAAAAAAAAAAAGAGGACCTGATATCTACATTAATAACAAAGGCAAGCGTTTCCCCAGTGCTCTCCAGGCACCAGACACTGAGTGCTTGATGTATGTTAATATTGTACATCCATTAATTCAATCCTCAGGCCAATCCTATGATTTCAGTGTATTATTATCCCTGCGTTACAGATGAGCAAGCCAAGGAAGAGGGTGGCTCCATGACCTGCCCAGTGGGCAAGAAGTGGCCAAGTCAAGGGACTTTCCTGGTCGTCCAGGGCTTGGGACTTTGCCTTCCAGTGTAGTGGGGTGCGGGTTCGATCCCTGGTTGCGGGAGCTAGAATGCCATGTTTCTCCACTAAAAAACCAAAACATAAAAATGGAGGCAATATTATAACAACTTCAGTAAAGGCTTAAAAAAAAAAAAAGGTCCACATCAAAAAAATCTTGGGGAAAACAGAGAAGTGGCAGAGTCAAGACTGAAACCCGGAGCCCCTGCTCTGACCAGCACTGGGGGAAGGCAGGCCGGCCAAGGCACGGGCTTGAGAACCCACTCAGCCTGTGTCGGGAACATGGTTCTGCCTTGTGCAGATGCTGTGGGACTCCGGCCAGTGGCCAGTCTCTCCGGGGCATCCTCATCTACAGAAGCGGGACACGGGGCCTCACCATGTTTATTGTAAGAATTAAATGAGAGCGGGGCTGTTGGGCTGGCACAGCACCCGGAGCCCTGTGTGCTTCAAGATGGCAGTGCGTGTGACAACACACTCTCCTGGCCACGGCCGGGGGGCGCGGGGCGGGGGGCCCGTCTTCCACCTGTGTCTGCAGCTGTCAGGCACGTGCCCTCATGGCCGTGGCCGTCTCTGTGGAGCGTTCACTGCACCCGAGCGAGGCCAGGCCTGGCGGGCAGGGGCGGGGATGAATGCCAACATTCTCCACAGCAGGTGGTGAGAAATTCTGTGAGCCCACGGCCGGTTGACAGGCGCCGTGTTTCAGGAACTCAAAAGGTTCACTCAAGCGTCACAGGAGATTTATAGACTCATCGGCTGCCCCGGCCCCTTCCTGAGGCCTCAGCAGGGGAGGCGGGATTGAAAGGTGGGTGAAGGAGCCTCTTTCTGTCCCCTCTCCCTTTAGAGGGTGGAGTGGGAAGCACTCCAGTGGCCTCGGCAGAAATGGCTTAATGGCCAGTCACCACAGGAATGTCCCTTGGCCCGCTTCAGGGAGGTGGTCTGAGACGTGAGAAAAGCCTCATAGTTCAAGACCAAAGGTTCTTTGTGAGGTGAGAATGGAAAGACTCGAGAGGGTGGGGGAATGCTGGAAAGTTAGGCTGAAAAGCTCCATCTTGCTTCCAGCCTGTGTGGCTTTATACCATCTCAGAGGTTGGTATTCTTGGCCCAGGGACACCCCAGAGAGCGATGCTTGCCTAGTCTTTAGTTTTTTTTTGGAGCCCTTCTCCAAAGAGAGGACACCTCAAACCTAAAACTGGATGTTACTAGTAGTTCAGGACAGATCCTAACTGTTCACTGGCTGTGTCACCTTGGACAAATAACTTGACCTCTTTGAGCCTCACTTTGCTCCTCTGGAAAACAGACAATACCAGTTCCTCCACCCCTTGGGCTGAAATGAGAATTAGATGAGTTCATAACAGGTGTGGCGCTCACAGTGCAGGACTTCATTGTCGCATGTATCTGGTGGATAGTTAGCATGTCACAAATGGTAGCTATCAATGTTATTAATAACTGTGATTTTTGTTGCTGTTAATATTATCATTATTATTAACAATATTATTAGAAAGTCTCTAACCTCCCATCACGACTTGGTGACTAAACAACAACAAATCTCCTATCAACAAGCTGTTCCTACAATCTTTGATCCAAACCAGAGTCAGATGAGTGAAAATGAAACTATCCTACTCTAGTTTGCATTAACAGTGCCTAAGGACTGGGACTTTCCCACAATGCCTGTTAAAACAAGTCTTTAACAAAACAGTTTTCATCCATCCATTTATCAAACACTCGCTGAATACCTACTGAGGGCTAGGCACTGTCCAAGGCACAGAGGATACTTCAGTGAAAAGAAAAACAGAAACTCCCCAAATCGTTGCCCTTGTGAAGCTTACATTTTAGTGAAGTGAGACAGACATATGGCAAGTAACATAGTACATTAGTAAATGACTCAGATTAGAAGGTGATACAAAAAAGAAAAGAAAAGAAAAACATAGAGTGAAGGAAGGGGAGTTGGGGATTGGGGTGGGAGGCTTATTCCTGGTCCATCCATTCAGATAAAAACTCAGTGGCAGGACTTCCCTGGTGGTCCAGGGGCTAAGACTGAGCTCACAACGCAGGAGGCCCGGATTTGACCCCTGGTCAGGGAGCTAGATCCCACATGCTGAAACTAAGATTGAAGATTTCTCATACGGTAACTAAGACCCAGAGCAGCCAAATAAATAAACAAATAACAAATAAATATTCTTTTAAAAAGAAATGAAAAAAAAAAAGTCGATGGAACTGCACTGGCTTGCCAGCTTGTCCTGCCGCTTCAGGCAGCCCCTGCTCCCTCTAGGCCTCAGTTTCCCCACTTCTAAGAAAGGGCTGCCTAGACGATCTTAAAGGTCTTTTGAAATTCAGTGTTTCTCAAAGTACAACCCATGGGTCACCTGCATCAGAATCACTTGTTGAAAATACAGACTCCTGCGTCCCCAGTCAGAGCTACTTCATCATGCTCCCTGGGAGGGGAGGGACAGGGCTTCAGACGCTAAAGATGCTCTTCAGGTGTTTCTTATAAGCCCTCAAGTGGGATAAGCCCGATCCTACATCTTCCTTCTCGTTTTCCTGGCAGCGAAATTCTCACAGTCGTTGCTGTGTGTCTCTGGTCGAGGCTTCTTCCAGGTTTCCAATGTCTTTGGGGATCTTTTGCCCTTGATTCTAATCTTTGGGCCACAACAAACACCCTGACTTTATCTCAGCCACCTTCAGATTGCGGTAAGGCCCTTGGAGCTGAAAGTTACACCTGACCTATTAGAACACAGCCAGCCAGTCACACCATCCAGATATGGATTTTTCTGAAAATGAGCTCAAGAGAATGGCTTTATGGCTCTGAGTGTAGCATTTCACCGTCGTGGTTCTTGGTGGCATAAATAAATTTCAAATGGATTTCCTGCAGTAAAAGAGCTATGGCTCTACAGTTCCGCTGCAGCCGGCATCCTGAGAGAGTAAATGCTCACACTGACCACACAGACAGCTTGAGGGGTTTTCACTAGCTAAAGGGAGGGTCACCATTTAGCATCTCCTCTCTACCCTGTAACTCCCACAATTCTACCTTTAGAACAGAATTCTCCTCCGAACTCCAGACTTAAAAACTCCAATCAGATCCTACCAGCTATCTCAGTCCCTCAACACATCCAGACCCAAAGTATTGAGACCCACCCTTTCCTCATCTCCGAACCTCTTCTCCTTACTCCCCAGTTGTCCCCATCTCAGGAATGGTGCCCCCATCCTCCCAGATGCTCAAAATCACCCCAATTCTCCCCTTTCTGTCACCACCTCTGTGCACATCCAATCCTTCAATCTCTGAAATACTCGTACGACTCAAATTCAACCATTTTTTTCATCTCTGCCTTCAACTCTTCAATTCAGGCCACCAACATCTCCCAGCCACAATTAAAAATACAGAAATGAGCTGCCTAGTGCATATGTTGCCTATTGCACTTAGAAAAAAATCCAACAGTGCACCAGGGTCTACAATGGCCCTACACCTCTGGCCCATCATCCCCTCCAACTTCATTACCTGCAGCTGCTCAGGACCCTCTAGCCAAGCTTTATTTCAGATTGTCAGATATATTTTTCTGGCCTCAAAGGCTATGCAGCTAACAATCCTTCTGCCTGGATGGCTTGTCCCCAGTCCTTCCTTATCCTTTAGGCCTCAGCTCAGGGGTGAACTCCTCAGGGAACTCGAGCAAGCCTTCTCTGACCATCTCATCCAGAAAGGCTGTTGGAGGAGTGGGTGGGTTTAGGGTGAGAGCAGTAGCTTTGAGTCAGGTGGCCCTGGCTCCACGGGAACCTGTGCCCTTGCGAGCTGGACAGCCCTGGACAAGTCTCTACTATGTGCCTCACCTGTCTGCTTTTCAGTGGAGGATAACGGGATTTCCCCGAGGGCAACTGTGAGGCTTAGAGGGGCCGGTCAAGTACAGAACACAGTGTCTGCTGCCCAGAAAGAAAGTGGGCAAGTGGGAGCTGCCACCTTAAATCTTTTTTTTTTAAACGGACCAAATAGGTCAGTAAAAGAAACAGTGGCTGCTGTTGTAAGAACTGAGCTTGGTGAGCTCAGGATGGTACAGGCCACACACCCCACTCACAGACGGTCTCCA